CTGGGGAGAGGGAGGTCTGGGCTTTTCTGCTCAGGCTGCTACCCCCGTGACCAGGGCCTGGGTAAAGTGGAAGAAGATAGATGGATGGATGAACTTTATTTGAGCACACAAAGTATTTTCTTAGTGCAAACCTCACAACACTCACATTGTAATGGGTTCGGTGTCTTGCCAAGGATACTTCGACATGCATACTGGAGGAGCCAGGGATCAAACCACGACCTTCCAACTGGTAGAGCCACAGCCACCCCGGGAACAGGATGTTTAAAAACTGCACCACTGACTTACCACACGGGCTGGTTTCAGTGTCAGACATACCTCAACCTCATTCCTCTGACCCAGACTACATGTACCACACCACGTCTTAAAGGAAACTGTCTAAAAGGTCTTTCTGTTTTCCCTCTTTCGTGGTAAGATAAGTATCATCTCCCAAAGCTCACCTAGCTGTTGCAAAAAGAGAGTCATGGAGCGCTCCTGCTTTGCACTGGTGATAATTACATGGGGACTAACCTCCTGAATGACTGTAAAACAGAGAAAAAGAGAGTTTATGGCAACACAAGTGTTTTTTTTAACACATACTGTAAGTCTCCCTGAGGGTTTTACAATTTACCATTGTGTGGAAATAAGTGTATCCATTCTACAATACCTGCCTCATACAGGTGAATTGCTTACCTCTGACCAGTAGGTGGAGCTCTTGGTTGTCGGGCGTGTCCGGCATGTAGTGTAAAGATGAGTCCTGACTGTCATAGAAGCAGAGGCCCACCTGCCCATGCTGGACCAAAACACTCAGTAAAACCTGGAAAACAGACATGCAAACGTGTGCCCTCAAACTCTCATATATCTCCCATATAACATTAAATGAGTGCTGCTGGTGAATGTGAAAATCAGAGCTTACTGCAGGAGAGTCCTCCACATCTTCTTCATCAAAACTAATGGCAGAAGGTCCAAAAACCACACCTCCTCCTCTGAGGTTATCCAGAGCTGCTGCCATGAATAATTAATTCTACAAGGACAAGTCAGATTAAAGTAATTTGGAGTCACCCGATAAATCCAATATTCATTGTATTTTATGTGTTATGTTCTTCTCTGTCTTTTCTGTCTCCTTAGGGAAATATGGAGCCATTTAACTGCTAAATGAGTCACTCTCATTAACAGGCTGTCCAAGGCTGTCTGCCTTGCACTTTAGTGCTGAGCAGGGAGTATAATGTGGGTTTTTAGAGCTTTTTCACTGAAAATAGCTTACTACTACTGATGCTTAAAGAAAACCATGGCTTCCTAAAACAACTAAACTGCAGGTCAGACAAAAATACCCTTTTGAAACTCGCTATGGGGTCCTTTAAAGATAAAAACAAAACATGGAATTGATATTACAGACATTATTATGATAATAATTGAAATTATTGTAGCTCCAGTTAGCTTGTTGGGCTAACGATGTAAGCTAGCTCGTTTAAGTTAACTATAACTTAATTATATTCTTATTTAGAAACCGGCTATAGAATTAAATTTCTGTTTTAGAGTACTGCCACTTCAATAAATGCCACGTCAATAAATCTTTTATATAACTGATAGAGTCCAGCTTATAACAGAAATGAGGCTGATAAAATAACTTTAACAGTGCTTGTTTTCCACAAACTCACCTTCAAGTGCTCAGAGGCGCCTTCCCGGTTGCCATAACAACCACATCTCTCTCGCTATTAGTTCTGTACGATTAATCAGTTCAGAAAGATCTTTCAACATATGAAACCTTTTTGTTTGTCTGTCTAGCTATCTGTCCTCTATGTAGCATAGGTGTGGGGTGGTTGATGGTGTGAGTGTACAGCTGATGGGATTACTGCATCCACTCCTGGTAGGACTCCAAACACGACTTTTTTGTGGATTACGTCGATGGAGAGGAGGTGCCTGTATGAAGGATTTAAACATGTCCTGCATGCAAGCATCGATCAGCAGGATTAGCAAACTTCTAGTAGTTTGTCTGCCACCTGCAGAGGGAGCATCTGGTTCTTAGCAGGTGAGCAACAACACACAACACATCACACTGTGTGATTATTTATTCAACAAAAACGAAGCCAAAATAAAGAAGTGTGTGAAAAAATAAGTACAAAGCAGCCAGGTGACTGATTAACTAATCATCAGTAAGTGTGAGAACCTCTATAAAAGCTTCATTTTTGACAGTTTGTTGGCCTCGAGCATTACAGTGTGTGTTAACACAATATCAAGGAGGAAAAACATCAGCAATCATCTTAAAGAAGCAACTGGTGCTGCCCATCAATGTGGGGTGGTTTATAAAGTCATTTCCAAACAATCTAAACTCCATTATTCTATAGTGAGGAAGATTATTCACAAATGGAAAACACTGAAAGTAGTTGCCAATCTTCACAGGACTTGATTTCTCAGGAAATTAACCCCAAGATCAGATCAAAAAACCCAAGAGCTACCTTTCAAACTCTACATGCCTCACCATGTTAAATGGTAATGTTTATGACAGCACAATTAGAAACCTGATTCAAATTCTGTGCTGGGACCTTAGGGGAGCTGAGCTGTGATGCAACGCTGTAAGTTCCCAAACTCCTCCAGAATGATGCGAGAGACTGATGAAGTAATATAGAAAACCATTACTTCAAGTTATTGCTGCTAAAGGTGGTTTAGTTAGGCTTAGGCTTAGTTTTTCATACACTGCTTCTGCACTGTGGTCTAGTTTTTGTTACGTAATGACATGTTATAAAATCTTATGTGCTGTTGTTTTTAAAGGTCGTATTTAAATAATATTAGAACCTGATATGTCCTGATTGATAAAACCTTAGAATTAAAGAGGGTGTATTATTGCTAATGTCACAATATAACCTAAATTACAACTACAAACAAATGTGTGGAAGTATGGGCATGTTACAGTATAAAGGAATAATATGAGTACACCTGTATATGAGACAGGCTTTCAGTCACGTAAACAAAGTATATATCTATCTTGCCACTGTACTTGGCTTGTTATGCTGGTTAAAAACATTACATCAGTATTTCCATAAAAATAATGTTATGTTCCTTATTGGATCTGAGCTTTATTGTCAAAACCAAACATTGTGGTTTGTGAAAGGACAGGAAAAGAATGAAAATCACTTGAAACACCTCATTTGTTAGATACGCAAAAGAAGAAACCAGACCTGTACCACACAGAACTGCCTCTAAATCCCCCAAATTTCTTTTAAAAATAATACAAAACATCTATAAACATATACATTTGTAATAAATAAGATAAAAATAATTATACTAGTGCATATAATGTAAAATTTACAGAATTTACATCAGTATTTCATAGAAAAGGGAATGGATCCTTGGTAAACTGCAGTAACTGATAAAAATATCCATCTTGTCAGTTTGCGTGGAAGATTAATGACTGGAAGCCAGGCAGCGCTGGAGAAAAGGGGGTAGAGGCAATTTGTCCATATGTTTTAACCTTTTCTGTCCTAAATTCTGACGAATCGACAGTCCACATAAAGCCATGAGGGATGGAGGATCTCCTGAGAACAAGCCAGAAACAACATAGTTTAGTATAAGGCTGTGTTTTATCTTTATATTTCTGCGTACAAAGACAAATAAATAAATGAGGAACTCACGTGTAGAACCATTCATGTAGCGCAGTCGAATGCAGGCTCCTCCTCTCACACTGCTCACTGCTGGGAACAGCTCCACATCTCGAGGGAGGTCCTTAAAAGCTACGCCAAGGAAGCTGCCATTGACAACAAAACCCAGAGTCCCAGCATCGGCATCCAGAACCAGCAGGACACGCTCAGGAATGAGGAGAGGTGTTTGTGCCGTCTTTGCACTTGATGAAGAGGACTGTGACTTTGAATCAGCTGCCGCCTCAGAGTGACTCCTCTTACTCCCATTTTCTGGGTAAAGCTTCAGAGTTTGCCCACCATGCCAGAGCTGATTGGTTTTGAGCTCCCATCCCCAGGACTGTGAATCTGCCCCTACCAGCACATTGTACCCTGAAGACTGCAGGGGACAGTCCTGCCTTGAAATGCCCACGACGGCATGAGTCCCTCTGTGTTCGGGCCTCCACACCACCTCCCAGACATGCAGTCCACTCTTCACTCCTATCTCCGCCCTCACGCCATCGCTGCTAAGCTCAGTGGGTGAGCGGGTCGCTTCCTGTTTGCAGGGGGACAACAGGAAGTGAAGAGAACGGTGGACTGTACTCCAGTGTGAACGACTGTCTCCTGGGGAAACTGGAGGGGAGTTCAGCGTAACTGCAAGGCGAGAGGAGGTTGGGACGGCCAGTGGGAGGAACGCTGATGACGAAAAGGGAGGCCTGTCGGCTGTCCTGCTGCAAAACCAACGTGACAGACTCAGACCCATCAGTGCAAACGGCAGGGTCACTCCTATGTGTTGTCAGAGGTGAACTATGGAGAACAAAAAAAAAAACAAACAAAATGCAACTTAATATTAAACCTTAGATATGCAGTCATTAGAGAAAGAAAGTTTGAAAAACGAATTGGACGCTTAATGCTTCCATAGAAATGAAGAGTTTAAGTAGCAGCCAGGTCCTGCTCATCAAATGTACTTAATTAACTGATCATCAGCAAGCATGAGCACTTCTATAAAAGCAAAAGGTTTTCAGTTTGCTGGTCTGGAGCATTCACAGTGTGTAGGTTAAAAACCCTCATTCAGACTCAGAAGGCAGGCAGGATTAAACAAACAATGAGCCTTAGTCCATGAAACAAAGTCCAAAAGGCAAGGCAAAGCAAAAAGTCAGTCCACATAAACATCACAAGCAAACAAAAATGACATCTAAAACAGGCAGGTAACACGCTGGTACGGTTAACAGATACTACCACAAGGACTGAAATTAAAGCCAAAGACAAGGACTGACAATGAAAGACAACGAGACAGGAGTACGATAAAGCAGATAAATAACTCACAATAAAATATGATAAAAAAAAATGGAATCACTAACAGAACCAAAGACTTGACAAGTACAGGATGACCCAAGAAAGGCGAACGTTTTTCTGTTGTTGAAAATGTCAACTGCGAAAATAAAGCTGCCAGATAAATGGACAGAGAAGCAGAAGTCCAAAGCAGTTTGGCATGAAAATATACAAATAGTTCAAATGTGTCCTTAAGTACAGTCCTTGAGTATAGGACTAAGTGCAAAGGTGTCGTATATTTAGAACTCATAACATTACTCAGTGAGAAATGCCTCCGTCAACGGTGGGTCTATTTAATTTAAAAACCATGAAATATGTGGTAAAAGTAATTATCTCAGACACACAGTGTTCTCAGTTTGCAGCAGGATAAAAGGAGGAGGTGGTTTGATATGAGAATATATATTCCAGAAAATGAACAAAGTTCTGACCCCCTGGATAGTGTTGTTTGGTTTTTAGAAATATTTTTGCTAACTAATCCTGAGTTTCAGTTACACAGCTGAGAAGATTGCTTAAGTTTATCTTACAACAGCGATGCATATATGTGTTATCTAAATAAAAAAGAATTGAATTTATCTTCGAAGCGTACAGATAACACTGCACAACACACACCAATAACACTGCTGTTGTGATAAATTTAGTGTTTCTATCATGAATTTCTCTGTCTTAATCTACTTTCCTGGCAACTTTGTATAGTTTTTACAGGAATTGGAACATTGGTGTAGCAGGGGATACTAGGAAGCTGTATTTCAACATTATACACTTGGATTTTTTTTTGGAAATTATTGGATAATTATTTATGACAGTTACAGTTTTTATATTTAAATATAGTATTTAAATACATTTAAATAGCTTAAAGCATATTTTTAGTAATAATGAAACAAATACAATGTTAAGGAACAGACAAGGGTGGCCAATTAAGCTAAAAAAAAATGGGGGTTTTAGCATAAAAAATTGCTGAATTTTTTTTGTTAACTACATAAAATATAAAGGAAACAAATAGTTTTATAAATAAATACAGATTTGTTAAAGGTTAAGAAGGGTACTTCTCCGAACATGATACAAATGCTCTATAATAAAATTCACCAGAATTGAGGAGATCGGGTGTTAGATGCACAAACTTTTGGGGGAAGGATCCTCAGACTTCTTCATGATATCCTCCCCATAAAGCCAGACCTACTCCCGTGTATTTATTTAACGTCACCTGTTAAGGTGGAGCAGAATAAAGTGAACTAGAAGAATACAGTAATTTTTTTTTTTTTAAAAGACAGAAAGTCTCCATCGAGCTAAGCAAACAGTGTAGATAGGGACTTCTATCAGCCTTACCCGCTGGTGTGGCTCCTTCTCTGGTGCTCATGAGATTTCCTTCACGAACCCTCCGCCTGGTTCCCTATCTGAGCTTATATGAGGCTCTTATCAAGCATCTCCTGCGTCTTATCGCCGCTCGGTAACGTAACCGCTCCGGTATTTTGGTGATGCTTCTCGACTCGACCTCCGGAACGGGAACAGCACAGTCCATCACTGCAGTCTGACGCCTGCAGAGATGCAGTGACAAGGACGAGAGAGCCGTGACGCTGTTTGTTGTTTATCTGCAGCCCTCATCACTTTCCGTCTTTATTTCTCCCTCCACCTTTTTTTTTTTTTATCGCGTCCGGTAGTGGATGTAAACATAAATGGCAAAACATAGGAACAGAATCAGACTCGGACTTTTAATCAACAAGAAGAGAAAAATAAAATAAAACCCGAAGCGGCTCATCGTTTGACAGAGCGCAGGCGCATCAGGGGACTGTGGGTCTTGAAGCCCTCTGTGCTGTCTTACAGACATGTGACGCACTAGAGCGCACTTTGGACAGAAGCTTCAAGCAAATAAAGATATATACTGATATATCTGCGTCCACAGACAACAGATTATAAATATATACTGCGTTTAGAGACAACACTCCTGACACTAAGATAGGATATTTATTTATCACAGGGCTATGAAACTCCTCTGTTACAGCAGTTAGATTAGCTACAGTACTTAAATTAGCAGAATATTATGTAACTCATTAGAATACAATGCAATACTACATGTTTCATATTTAATTAAAGTTGGTGTGTGTGTCTGTGTGTAAGAATGAGTTGTGTGGTTATGTGGATGTGAATTATGTGGATACGTGGGACTCTATTCAGTCCAAACAGAGAGAACATATAACTAAATAAATAAGGGTGTAGGATTAAAATAAACTGTTAACATGTGAGAACAGTTGATTCTTCTATGGACAGATGTGTTGCTCTCAGGCTGTTGTGATATTTGATACCACAAGTTACTACATGTGAAAAATGTGAAAGATGTATCTGTGATTATCCGTGATCGATAACAGTTTGTTCAGTGATCAGCCAATCACAGAGCTGACTTTCCTGATCAGTTTATTCAGTCTGTTGGGTCTATCAGCTCTGACGCTGCTCCCCCAGCAGAGCACAGTAAAGTACACCACACTCACCACAACAGAGGAACAGAAAATCTCAGAAAACTCATATCAAAGATCTCAGCTTAATTATGAAATCGAGCCTGCTCATCCCCTGTGTCGGTCTACCAGTTTAGCGTCTTTGGACCACCACCAATAAATTTTTGTGTTACTGATGTTTTTAATACTTGTTTTATGATTTTTTTTGTCAAATTGGAGATTCAGAGATTAATAATTAATAATAATAATAATAATAATAAAATTTGCTACAAGAAAGTGACCATTATTCCAGCAAATTGAAATAATAATGAATGAAGTATTTACATGCTCCCATTTGTTGGCTTTCCTAAGACCTTTAGAAATATGATCCTAGCTGTGAATCTCTGAATGCAACTCCCTGATGTATTTATAACCCTAAAACCCTGCAGACCATATTAACACAGTAATTAAATTCTGGCTTATTTATATAGTGCCAAATCACAACAGTCACTTCAAGGTGCTTTATATTGTAAGGTAAAGGCCGTTCCGTATTCTGGAGAAAACCTCAACAATCAAACGACACCCTACCAGCACGCACTTTGTGATGGCAGGAAGGAAAAGCTCCCTTTTTGTCAAGATAGCGCTGTGTGGTAGGCAGGAGTAGCACCCAAACCCAGGACTCATAACACAGAGGGATAAAGAAAAGATTTTATTTGCTGTAAAATCCAAACACTAAATACAAGGAAACAAAAACCTAAAACTGGAAACTAGGAATTACAAGGAATCCAAGAAGCACAGAGGAAACACAGCGATGTGGGGACAACACAACAACAAGCAGAGGACGACAGAGGACATAAATACACAGAAGACAATTAGAGGATGGGAAACAGGAGGGATCACAGCTGGAAGTAATCAGACACAATGAGACACAGAGGAAGAAAAACTGAACACACTGAACAGCAACGCAGCTGTCCCCCAACACAGCTGTCCCAAACCATCAACATAGCAACACACTGAACACAGGACGGGAGACTGTCAAAATAAAAAAGGAAACACAGAGAGGGTGAAAAGGGGAGAACTCAGACGAGACCAAGACAACCAGAGCACAAAAGGGAACAGGCTAAATGAACAAGAACCTAAGAATTAGAAATACAAATGATTAAACTAGGAAGAGCAAGGAAACTCAAACATGATTAAAACTAATTCAAAGAATATAAATTAAACCAGAAAACACACACACTGAGATACAGACCCAGGACCATGACACTATTAACAGAAAGAAACCTTCAGCAGAACCAGGCTCAGGGAAGCCCCTCAGCTCATCGTGGGGCTTCCCTGAGCCTGGTTCTGCTCGAGGTTTCGAAGAAAGAGAAGATAAAAAGGGCAAGTAAAGCACAGGAAGATGGGACAAAACAAAGCCTGTTGCTTTTGTTTGAGCCTTTAGGATTTGCCATCCTATCTTCTGTACTTAAACAACTAATCAGCATGGCCAGCAGTCTCATCTATAAGACACTACTGAGGGCTTCTTTAACCCATAGATTACCAAAGAGGGGCACATAGCTTTGTTTACCACAGGAAAGAAAATGGAAAAACTGCCGAGCTTCACAAATGATAAATGATTTCAGGTTTTTGGAATGAAGATAAAGTAGATAAATCAGACTTCTTGCAGATTTCTCTAAATTCAGCTTTGAAACCTGTGGGAATGTTGATATATGAATTGAGAGAGAAAAATGAGCACAGATAACTCAGCAGAGTTCTGTTTACGAACACCTGCTTTAAAGTATTTTTCAGTATCCAAAACCATTAAACCAATGTCTTTAACACGGCTGATTTTATTGTAGAGACATTATATGTGTCGGCTATGATGACACACAATCAGGACACTTCACTAATTTGACTTTAACATTCATGAACATTTGATATTGAGATTTTACTGATTTCTGCTGCTCACCTGACTTCATAAATACTCACATCCACAGAGTTGGTTGTCTTCTAGTATTCTGTAGCCCTGCTCTGTTATTTCAATTCAATTTTTATTGTATTCTGTGGAGTTCTTGGCTGAATACATCCTCAAATAAACAACAACACATGACATATCACACCAAGTCATTATTTATTGAACAAAAACTAAGCCAAAACCAAATACATAGCAAGTACAAAAGCTTATAAAGAAGAACTTCTAGCAGTAATGGTTTTCTGTGTGACAAAGATAGCCTCACATTTAACTCAAAAAGTAGCCAGTTAGCATATTTGTTTGCAAGAGAAGTATATGAGTTATAAGTATGAGCTTAGAGAAAGGCTGTTCTTACAGCGTCTCATTGTAACCTGTATAAACTCAATGTCAGCATTCGTAACAGACACACTGCTTCTTTATAGCTTGCCTTAAATTTAATCTGGAGCTCATTATTTTGCGTTTATCCGTTAGATGGCACATGCTACACTGCCAGAGTTTATTCGTCCTGTTTGGTGACATGTCCAGCTGGCGTTATCAAGACGTGGCATAATTTTTAAAACTTGTCAGAATGACTGAATGTAGAAAAATATATAAATATTTAAATTTGTAGTCACTATCATTTCATCTAAGTGAAAATGGTTGCAGACCTACAATACAGCGACGTCGCTGACAAGAACATTTACAGCACAGAGAAATCTACATAAATTAATGAAATATATAAATGTCATATAAATGCAAATATAATAGTTCAACTTGCCTTTTTTAAATTATAGTGATGGTTCATAAAAGTCACAACTGTTAACCTTTTCCCTGAAACTTCACCTCACTCGTTTAACACTAGTGTACGCCAGAGCGTACGAGATTATGAATGACAATAACAACAAGTCACAAACTTCATCTGTTTTCTTCCTGAATATTTTTTAACTGACCAACCTCAGTGGCCAAAGTAAGGACATCTTTTATTAGCTCACAAACTCACAATGTTGTCATTAAAATTATATATATATATATATATATATATATATATATATATATCATAAATAATTTTATGCATTTCAATCTGAGTGTAAAAGTCTGATTTAATCTCCATCCTTCCATCACTTAACTACTTCAGGGTGGTGGTGGGGCTGGAGCCCAGGTGTCACAAGGTGAGAGGTAGGTGACCTGGAGAGGTCACCAGTCTGTTGCGGGGCCTTTAATCCACCTTAAACCTCATTTTCCCCACTATTTCAGTTAGATCGGCCTGTAGAATAAATAATAAAAAAAAAAAACAACAGAGTTGAAATTTGTTCATTTTAGATTGCAGACATTTTGTGTTAATGTGTTAAAACATTAAAGTAAAAACTGCAGCTGCTACGGTAACCGTGACAGAGTTAGAAGTGGGAATAATGACTGTTAGAGTGAAATGGGGAATAATCAGCACACTGCTTACATTAACTAATGCAATTACCCAAGTTACAGTTTCAGAATTTGTCGTTCGAGGTTATTTTTGGTTATGTGTCTCACCTGTGGCCTTCCTCTTGTAGAAAATAACTCCAATAATTGGAAACACCAAAGCCAGCAGCAGCCCTGCTGCACCAACAGCAATCTTATTCTTCCCTGCTTCAGTTATTGGCACTAAAAACACATTTATCACTGTGTTAGATATACACATTTATTTAATATGTCTTATTTTAGAAGGATAACACCAATATGAGGTCTACTGATAAACTTTCCTCCAATCACTCTCTTACCCCAGTCATAAACCTTGGGCTCTGTGAGGCTGGCATGCTTCACCACGCAGCTGATTTTCTCTCCAGGTTTCGATGAAATCTCGATGTAGGAGTGAATCTGGTAGAGCCAGTTTCCGTTGGGTAGTTCATCAGTGGAAGTCACATTAGATGTTGCCTCCTTTCCGTCCCTCAGCCACGTCAGTTTGATTTGTTTGGG